GGAACAGCTAGTTCTAAATAATAATAAGCTGTATAAGCAATTTTCCAAAAAATCACCCAAGAAGGGGTGAAATGTAATCGACGAGCGTGTATGCGTATTTGGATGTAAAGGAGACGAGAGAAGTGTATCAGGATCGTGCCAAATGGAAGTCCGTAGTCTCTGCCTACCCCTCTGGGTGACAAGCGTGAGTGTATATGTATGTATGAATGAATGTTAAGGAGGATTCCAGCTTAAAGGACACTATAAAAACACAATCAATTTTGTACGTGGCAGAGCCACGCTGCAGCTATATTAGTAGTATAGTTGTAGCACGTATGGGTTGGCTCGACCGGGGAAGGACCACGCTCTCACAAAGTACCAGTGTAAAATGGCAGCTTGATACTGCTGTTTCGTATGGTAAGTTTAGAGAACCGGAGACCCATTTTACTGGAAAAGAAGCATTCCATCCTAGTCCTCACGGGTGACGACGCATCTGCATTTTGATTCTTTATTGAGGATAAATGTAGATGTCTATGAGCCACAGCAACCACTTACCATCAGGTAGACTGTGTGCTCGTTTGTCACGTTATCCTATAAAAAAAATCAAAACAGTCCCTCGCTGAGAAATGCAACTGCGGCTCAAGCTTAGTTGGTACCTCGGCGTGAAGTTGCAGCTCTGCTTCCGCGTTTCGTCTGGTGAATGCAGGTGACCGGAGGCCCTTCCCCCTCCCCCCATCAACATAATTCAACAAAAACACAACAACACAATTCCACTCAAAACAATTACTGCCCGGGGCAAACCGAGCAACAAGACCAAAGCGACCCCTGCCACGCTATCAGTAAATTTCTGCAATATCAGGGGACTTCACTCGAACCTGAACGCCGTCCACTACCATCTCGAGACGGCGAAGCCGGGCTTGCTCTTTCTGACCGAGACGCAGGTGTCGTCTCCGGCTGATACGTCTCCTATCCGGGGTACATATTGGAACACTCCTTGCCTCGGGCTGGAGTTTGCATATACGTCAGAAAAGACATCTGTTCTCGACGCCTCGGCAGTCTCGAAGGTTCGGACCTGTCCATCCTTTGGTTAAGCGAAGATAGCGATGATCATTCGCGCGTCTACGGGTGCTTCTATAGGTCCCATAGCGGTAATGCCGAAACAGACCGACTCATCGACGACGTTCAAATGGCTACAGATTCCTTGCATTGTCCCATTCGCAGAGATCATAATCCTTGGCTATGTTAACGCCCACCAAGCCGAATAGCTCGGTGCACATTTAATCGATCATGCGTGGAGATCTGTTCATGATTTTGCCTTGACATATGGTCTGACACAACTGGTTACTTCGCCTACGCGGATTCGAGATGTGAAGGAAGACCTTCCCTGTTTGACCTTCTGCTGATCTCTCATCCGGACGGATATCAGGTCTCCGTCGATGCCGGTCTGGGCTCTTCAGACAATTGTCTGATGTGGAGTACGGTGCTACTCACGCTCCCATCGCAGTTGCGATCTGCAGCTTGCCGCCGTATTCGGTACTATAGGTCGGCCGTTTGGGACGGGATGCGGTCTTTTTTGCATTCTATCTTTGGTGGCGGGTTTGCTTCTCGCTGGATGATCCCAATGTTGTTGCTGATTCTGTCGCTGATGTGGTACTTCACGGACTGGAACTATTTATTCCATCATCTGTGGTGCCTATCAGAGGTAGAAATCAGGTATGGTTTGGTCACTCCTGTAAAATTGCATCACACTATAAGTAGGAGTGCTACCGGGCCTGGGCTGACGCATCAATCCCGGGATGTAAACACGAGCGCTCTTAAAAAGAAATATAATTCCACCTCCAGGTCCTTCAAAGGAGTCATTGCCAAGGCAAAGTCAGAATACATAGGCAGAATTGGCGAGAAAGTAGTTCGCCTTCCTGCGGGAACCCGTGCATTCTGGTCTCTCGCCAAGGCTGTCCAAGGGAACTTCTGTCAGCTATCACTTACATCTCTGTACAGGGAGAACGACTCACTGGCCCATGTCACAAAAGAGAAAGCTGATTTGCTAGGCTTTTTCTTTTCGTTCAATTCGACTCTCGTTGACGGGGGGAACACACCGCCGACCATCCCGCAGTGTGAGTGCTCCATACCGGATGTGCGGTTTCCACAGCGCTCGGTTCGCAAAGTACTCCTTGCCCTGAAAATCCACAAGTCGAGTGGACCTGACGGAATCCCCCCAATTGTGCTGATGACGTGTGGGCCGGAGTTGGCACCGGTTCTAACGCGTCTTTTCCGGTACTCCTACTCCCTAGGCGTAGTCCCGAAATCATGGAAGACGGCTTTTGTCCACCCGATCCCTAAAAAAGGCGACCGTTCAGACCCGTCTAACTACAGGTCTGTCGCCATCACCTCCTTGTTCTCCAAAATAATGGAATTTATTATAAACTGCCAGCTCATTCAGTACCTTAAGGATCACCAGTTGATTAGTGAATGCAAATACGGTTTTCGTTGGGATCGATCAGTTGGTGATCTTCTGGTCTACCTGACTCAGAGATGGGCGGAGGCAGTAGAATCCAAGGGGGAGGCATTGACCGGGAGTTTGGACATTGCGAAGGCCTTTGTTCGGGTTTGGCACAAAGCGCTTCTTCCGAAGCTCCCTTTCTATGGGCTTCCCGAGAAATTGTGCAATTGGATCACCAGCTTTCTTGCAGATCGGAGCATCACGTTGTACACTGTGCATGCTCCGACTACAAGCCTATTAATGCTGGGGTTCCACAAGGCTGCGTGCTATCACCAACGCTGTTTCTCCTGTATATCAATGATATGTTGCAAACTGGTAACATACATTGCTATGCGGATGACAGCACTGGTGATGCTCTATACACCGGCCGTGCTAATATTTCTCGGGAAAACGTCGCCGAGTACCGGAACAAACTTGTGTCTGAAGTCGAGTCTTTGCTGAACAAAATCTCGGAATGGGGGCGACTAAATCTAGTCCAGTTTAATCCTCAGAAGACACAAGTTTGCGCGTTTACCTCTAAAAAGAACCCTTTTGTCTTGTCTCCTCAGTTTCAAAGCACTCCCCTTGTTGTCTCAGCCAGTATCGGAATCCTCGGCATCGACATATCGAGTGACTTGCAGTTTCGTGTTCACTTGGAAGAGAAGACCAAATTTGCCTCTAAAAAGCTTGGCGTGCTGAGCAGAGTGGGACAGTATTTCATGCCGTCTCACCGCCTGCAACTTTACATGGCGCAGGTTTAGCCTCACATGGAATACTGTTCCCATCACTGGGCTAAGGCTCTGCAGTGTCAGCTCATTCCACTTGACCGCATCCAGTGCAGAGCGGCTTGAAATGTCGACGACCGAGTCCTTATCGATCGGCTCGATTCACTGGCGCTGCGAAGAGATGTCGCATCCCTTTGCATTTTCTTTAGCATTTACCACGGGGAGTGCTCTCAGGAATTGTTCGGATTAATCCCAGCCGCCAAATTTCACGAATGCACATCGCGTCAAAACTCCCAATACCATCAGCACCATCTGGATGCTTGATGTTCCACCACTGTACGTTTCACTAGGAGTTTTCTTCCGCGTACGACCTATCTGTGGAATAATTTACCACCGGCGATTTTTTCGGACCGATACGACTTAGGGACCTTCAAGAAAAGAGCTTACTCCTTTTTAAAAGACCGGCAACGCAGCTGCAATTCCTTTGGTGTTGCAGTTGTTCATGGGCAGCGGTAATCACTTACCATCAGGTGATCCGTACGCTCGTTTGCCCCCTCTCCTATAAAAAAAATAGTAATCAGTTAAAACGTATTTTTCAGAACAGAAAATGTTAAAAAAGTATATAATAAATTAAAAAAAAATTGTGTTACTATATTTAACTACACACATGCATATTACCATGTATCATGCCATAATTTTGTTATTGTAAGCCTAATTAATGATCTAAGTTAATTAATAAATTATACGAGGTAGAGCCATGGTGCAATACGTGGTACTGCCATGCTGCAGGTTTATAGTTGTAATAAGAATGGGTCGGCTCGACCGAGGAAGAACCACGCTCTCACATAATACTAGCGTAAAATAACAGCTTAACATATATTTTATATATATTAATTAATATTAATATACAACATAACACGTATATTATTTCAATTACTTACCATGCTGGCGAATTTATAAAATTAATTTAAAAAGTAACCATAAAATCCATATTTTTTTTTTTTTTTTTTTTTATAGGATAAGGGTGACAAACGAGCACACAGTCCACCTGATGGTAAGTGGTTGCTGCGGCCCATAGACATCTACATCTATCCTCTGTTACCAATCAAAATGTAGATGCGTTGTCACCCGTGAGGACTAAGATGGAATGCCTCATTTCCAGTAAAAAAGGCCTCCGGCCACCTGCACTCACCAAGCGAAACGCAGAGGTAAACCTCTACTTCACGCTGGTTTTCTGTGAGGTCGTGGTACTACCCCGGTTCGAGCCGGCCCATCCGTGCGACAGCAAAAGCTGCCGCGTGGCTCTACCACTGTTAAATATAATATATAATTTAAAAATATTTATTAGTAATGCTTATAAACACGATAAGGATATAGATACAATTTCATAAAGTGCATAGCTTACTTAACAAAATTGCTACATACATAGTAACATATAATTTTTTTTAATAATTTCTATTTCATTTCCTCAATTTCCAGTCAAAGATGAAAAGGTCAAATTAAATGACACAATTGCTTATTATTTCACTCAAACTGAATATTTCCCTTCACTTTACAGTTTCCCTCGTTTTTAGTAAAGACATAATCTTTTTAAACAAAAATAATAACATGCCTACGTTTGAAATCTCTGCGCCATAAATTTATTCAAAAGATAATGGGCTATTACAATTACGTACTCCGTATATTAGTTTCTTTTATTTCTTAATAGAATTATAAGTAGAGAAGAATAAAAAGCATACTGTACGTAAGATGTATCGAGATGCGCCGCTAGAGGGGGGTGTCATATATAGGGAAGATGCGGTGCAGGTTGTATCAACAGTGCGCCGCCGCGCATCTGACATACGTTTCTTTTTTCCCGCGCAGAGGTTAAAGTTTGTGTTTCCATCTGTGCACTTACGGGATCCGTTTGATTTTTTGGTGAGTTAATAAAATACATACTGGATACGAATTCGTGGTGACTTATATTGTTAAATCAATTTTATGTGATAAGAAAAAAAATATTGATTGATACAAATTTTTACCGATTTTTCGCATTACTCAATTTTATTTATTATTTATGTAAGACTTTGATTTTGTATTATAATTTACTTTTTTGCCTTTAACCTTTATATTTCGCTATTCGTTGCTATTACGCGTTCATTAGTACAACTATTAAAAAAAATTGGCAAATTGACGACACTCACTATACAAGTCGAACTAAGTGTGAATGTCACAGGTGAAACTTTGTTTTCTGTAAATTTACTAAAAACAACCCCATGTATTTTTATTTTAAAATGGCATATTATAGCAAAGAGTATCCTAATTGTAAAGTGCTTGTGAAGTAAAGTTTATTATTATTATTTACTATAATAATTCATTGAACGCGATAAAATCTTTACAACTATTATATGCTAGTATTGGACTGAAATGCCAACTGGTGATAAGTTATAATTAAGCTCTGGATGGTTAATTACTTAGTTAACAAATACGAAAAAATTCAGGTTTATTAAAGATGTAGTATTTGCATAAACATAAGAAATCATTAATAAAACAATTGACGTGGTAGAATCACGCTGCAGCTATTATGGTTGTAGCACGAATGGTTCATCTCGACCTGGGAAGAACCACGCTCTCAGAGAACACCAGAGTAAAATAGCAGCCTAATGCTGCTGTGTTTCGTATGGTGAGTGTAGAGAATCTAAGTGCCTCTTTAATGGTAATGAGGCATTCCATGTTAGTCCTCACGGATGACAACGCATCTGCGTTTTGATTCTTAATCGAGATTGATGTAGATGTCTATGGGTCACAGCAACCACTTACCGCCAGGTAAACTGTGTGCTCGTTTTTCACTCTTATTCTTTAAAATAACGTTCAATAAACATGATTTTATTAAAAATATATATCAATTAACTGATTCATACGGAAGCTATACCAGCTTCAGTAGCGAACATACCGTAATCAAATATCTAAATAGATAAAAAAAATCGTATATTAAAGCAGTATGCACACGTTTATTAATTATCTAATTTATTTTTCACAGATCTAAGCTGCAGAAACCTTAAAAAATGGCTTTCATAAAATCAATGGTAAGTTTAATTTCAATTGTCTCTATTTTTAAAATAATTTGAAAATAACATGTGTTTTCTTTAAACAGAAAAATAGGTCGAGTATATAAATCAAAGAACTAATATTATGATTATTAAACGGCACCAGAAGTACTTTTCAAAATTTTTACTGCTTAAAAGTTGTTATTTAGTAATTTACAATTCTTTTAAAGTGAAATTTCGCTTTGTTAAAATATTAAAAAATATATTTTTTACAATTATTCAAGAATATTTTTACTCATAATTTAACTTAATATCTTTGAAACTTCATAAAGTAGAATAAAATACGAATGTCTACGTAAATATTTACAAATAGGTCTTTTACAATATGTAAGCTTCATGAATTCAAATAAAGTATCATGTATTTTCGCGGAAACGGATATCTGGTACAACATCAACAGGTCCTAGAAAGACAAATATTGAAAAAAGGTAAACTTAGTAACAATTAACTCAGATATTATTTTGTTTGTTGTCCAAGACAAAAGTATACACGAGATATATATATATATATATATATATATATATATATATATATATATATATATATATATATATATATATATATATATATATAAAGTGAATATATCATTAAAATCAAAACCCAATTTTATTGCACTCTCAAAAATTAACACATACATTTTAAATAATATATTTATTATGTTTCTCGGAAGGGCTTTGACGGTTTAGATGAAATGTTGAAATGTTGTATTTAGATATGGTTTTACGTTCGAAGAAATTTATATTTCTTTATTTTAAAATATTTATTGCATTCCCTTAGAAAAACAGGGATAACAAAGTGCGGACTTAATGCCTAAAGGCGTTCTCTACAAATCAACCCACGAAGTAGTAAGAATTTGACGTAGGTGTAGCAATAAAAAAAATTGAATATAAAATAAATACACATTACAGACAAAATGAATACATACGTATAAATACGAGTATTTAACAATATTTTATTTCTAATGATTCCTCAGTAAATGCTCGAGAATCAACTTTTTAAAGAACCGTGTAAGTTTTCTTCCTAATAAATGATAATTAAACTTTAATAAAAGTAAAAACCTTTTTGTAAATTAAATTTTCTGACCCTTCTGAGTGAACGAAGTAAGCTCAAGGTAACAATTCGTATATCATCTACTTACTTTACAAATACTACTTTTAGGAATTGAAATGGTGTTATGAATTTTCTTAGCACGAGTGTATGTGTACAAGTGCACTCTTTAGCCTCACTCTCATAGTCCGACACGGCCGGAGTGAGCTTACTAAGAATTTCTTGACAGAAAACCCAATAACTGACTGTCCCGACTCGAGTATTCGAACCCGGGATCACCAACGAAGCATATTAAAACAAAAAATCCGACTTCACTACTTTAGAAAAATTTACCTGGAATTGAATTCTATAATGTCATCCACTTACTATCAGGTATCATAGCTCTTCTCTATGAAAATTTCCCACGAAAAAGGGAAATCTTTTTTGACTTTATTAACACCCTAAGACAAAATGGTTAGAAAGATTTGCTAACGGTAATAGTACAAAGTGAAATAGACCTTAGAAGTAATAACATGCATATGAATTAGACATAATTTGAAGACATTGTTTTGACATTTTTAGAATCTAATTGAGATATTTCATTTTAATATAAAAAACATGCACTTTACTTTTACTTTAAAGCTGTAATTTATTTCAAATGCCGCATAAATCCGGACACCGGAACTGAACTGCACTGAACGTATCATTTTGCAATTTGTGAATTTTACTTTTTTAGTTGTATTTTTTTTGCACAAGTGTAAGTTTTTGTAATTCAAGAGTAACAGCTGATAAGCGCTTATATTAATTAGTAGCAAATGTCTTTACTCGTAATTTCGTTCATATTTTAAGAAATGCAAGCGTGCGCATAAGTCATGTATTGTTCCACCAAAAACAGAAGTCCGGTTACCTATGTTTAGCCGACTTCAACTAAGTGCAGCCAATTTGGTTGCTTAAACTAAGGTGTATTTTTCCGAAAAACTTGTAAATAGTTTGAACGTAGAAACGGAATATGAAACGATGAATGAATAGGACGATACATCGAATAACAGGTACAGTATGAACGGGGAAAGGTAAGAGAAAGGAAGGAGAATGAATCATATAAATAGACACATAAAACGAAGTGATTTATATACTTTTTTGTAAGACATAAGACTTCCCGATATGTTACTCAACTTTATGCTTAAAGAATATATAAGTAAATATGGATTTAGATTGATAATCGTTAAAGTTATAGCAAGTTGGCCACCTTTTTTTATAGAATAAGGGTGACAAACGAGCACACAGTCCACCTGATGCTAATCTTTCATTACAAATCAATATGCAGATGCGTTGTCACCCGTGAGGACTGAGATGGAATGCCTCATTTCCAGTAAAAAGGGTATCTGGTTCTCTACACTCACCACACGAAACACAGCAGTGTTAAGCTGCTATTTTACGCTGGTATTCTGTGAGAGCGTGATCCATCCCCGGTCGAGCCAACTCATTCGTGCTACAACTATACTACTAATATAGCTGCAGCATGGCTCTACCACGTAAAAAATTGTAAAGTTTCATCTATATACAGTCAGTAGTGTTTGCGTGGAAGAGTAACAAACATCCATATATTCTCACAGACCTTCACGTTTATAATATTAGTAGAATTCAGTGAGAACTATGTTAATTTCAAGACCGATTCCTACACAAATGTCCGCAGCTTTTAGGTGATCTACCTTAACCTACCGTCGCTAAAATTACTTGATGCTATCGTATTTTTAACAAAGTTAATAGAAGTGTAAGTCATTTTGACTATTATTCGGACTTTACTAAACATTCAAACGTCTTTACTAAAAATTCAAGCGGCCTTGCCCGCCGCAGTCAATGAGTGTTAATAATCTTCCGTTCATCAGATGTCGCTAGTTGGGACTCAGGTGAAGTTTTTGTTACACAACGCCATAAAATTGAGAAATTATTGTTAAAATAAAAGTTTATCGGTTTCTAAAGTAACAAATGAATAAACAAAATAATGCCTCAATCGTTTACTCCGTAATATTTTTCACATATTTTAACTTTTTTTTTTAATTTGTCTACCTATGTTCAAAGTTTTTGCTTGAAGATCTAGTAGGTAAGTAAATATACATGTTTTGAAATAATCATTCTGAAATAAAATCTTTTGTATGTAGAAATTGGATTTTGGTGCGAATTAAAGTTTAATAGATTACATTGAATATATTTTCTATAATGAAAATTATTTTAGTAACAAATTAACTTTCCCGCCATGTAACATGTCAAATATTTCGCCTCAATTTTCACGCCTTCGTAAGTGGCACCGCCCTGGTAGCAAAAAAAAATTCCTTGCCTAGCCACTGTCACCTAGCAATCTGTTAGTATGTTAGCACCATAGCACGTTGTTTACGTAGTAGAGCCATACCGCAGCTATATGGTTGTAGCACGAATTGATCGGCTCGACCGGGCTCCACGTTCGACGCCGAATCACGCTCTCGCAGAATACCAGCGTAAAATAGCAGCTCATTGTTGTTGCGTTTCGTATGGTGAGCGTGACCGGAGACCCTTTTTACTGGAAACGGGGCATTCCATCTTAGTCCTCGGGGGTAGCAACGCATTAGCATGTTTATTCTTAATCCAGGATTGCTGTAGATGTCTATGGGCCACAGCATCCACTTACCACTGGCTGTGTGCTCGTTTGTCACATATTCTATAAATAAATAGTCTCTTTCTTTAGAAAAAGCCGTGTTAAGTAACGACACATACCGGAAGACGAGGCTTTGAGCCTGGGGCAACGCCCAATCGAATACTCAGGTCATAAAGTGTTTGTCGCACAATGCCGATTGCGTCAGCGGCGACCACAAGTAGTTGCGACATGAGCAAGCCCGCCACAGACGTGACATAGACAAGCGAAATGAATGTCGTGGTCTAGTGTATCCGTGCATATTACTTAAATCTTAAACGTTATGAGATTGCGGATAAGCACTGTATGACAGACGAGAAAATACTGTAACATAGTTGTTTGGGTTTTAGCTGGAAACGGGCAATAATCAACTTAATTTTACTTTAAATTCGCTCTTACTGAGAGCCGTCGTAGCTCAGATGGTTAGCGCTCGCGGTAAATTTCACAGTACGCGAGCAACCCGGGTTCGATCCCTGCCGGCACCAATGAAATTGTTAATGCAGTTTTAAATGCTGTTTTACCACGTGCTCGGCGGTGAAGAAAAACATCGTGGGGAAACCTGCATGTCTGACAAATAAGAAAATAAATATTTCGAAGACATGTGAAGTTCTCCATCACGCATTGGGGCAGCGCAGCGGACATTTACTTGCCCTAAAACCCTCTCAGAAATGAGAGAAGCTGTGTGCTCAGCAGTGGGACGTATATGTAACTTTAACTTTTAACTTTTAGTTCTTACTAAACCAACCAAATCGTTGTGAGGATAAAATAGAAAGACCCAAAAATATAACTTTTATATTAGTACTGATTCCGTTAACATCATACATGAAATTTTTTTGGTTTTTTTTTGTATTCTTATTTTATGCGCTGCCATACCGGTCATCAGTTTGCTCCAAAATTTTGTCATTACTTATACTCGCGCGAAGGTTATAGGCATAGTACAATTAAATTACCGTAGGTGGCGCGCGTGTCGTACCGACATATTTATTTGAAAGTCATAATATGTTATTCAATATGTCAAACAATATAGTAAACCTTCCAAATTTAAATCGATATTTCCAAGAACATTTTTTCTGCCGCAGCAACGCGCCGGGTGACGCGACTTCGCCCGCGTGGAATTTACTACGATTTCATGGGTTTTAATTTTTTTGCGCGGAACCTTAATTATTTTTCTAGAATAAAAGTATCCTAAGTAACTCCTTATATCATCAGCTATCTGCCAGTGAAAGTCAAAATTGGTTCAGCCGTTTCGGAGATTAGCCGAACAAGCAGATAGACAGGCAAAATATTTAA